TGTGTTACACATGTGTATCTATATGTCACACAACTCTGAGGTATTAAAGATCCACAGCTTGGGGACAGGGCTCAGCGTTCTTCTCAGTCATGCACACAGTGAAGGCTGGTTCAGCTCCTGGGTCCCTTTTATCGCTGGTTCTTACTGTGCATTTGGTTGCTGTCATGGGCACAATCTTTGTAGGTGAGAGACTATATATTTCTAGATCTTATTGTGGAAAAAAATTCTTGTCCCATGTATGTGGGGGTCTGAGTGAAATAACCAGATGGTGTGAATGTGCTTTTACATGTGCTGAGCAAGGAACAATTGACAGAGATCCTGTATTTGATAGGCAAATAGGTGGGAACAGAGTCAAATCTGTAGGCACAGAAAGAAAAGAAAAGGCAATCTGGCAAACATTAAGAACAAAGATGGTAAAAATCTTTAGGGGCAACAGAAGGAAAGACAGAAACAGTTCAGGGCAGGCATTTAGCAGAGGCCTGAAGTCAAGAACAGCTCCTTAAGCGACTGTGAGACGAGAGGCGGAATAACTGAAGAAGGGGAGTTCTGGCAGTTGTCTGGGAACGTGAGGTGCCGTTGCCTGGAGGCCTGCTGGTCTGAACTTGAAAAACAGACATGAAGTCTGCTCCTCTTTAGCGACAAGAGACCTAAGGGAGAGTTTGCACTTGGGGCACAAGAGTCTGTACAGAGCTGGCCAGAAAAGCTGACGACAGCTGTAGAGGCCTGGTAGGTTATCGACATGTCTGGATAGGAGTGAAGGTGTGACTTGGCCAACCTGTTCCCGAGGGGAGGGTGAACAGGTAAGAATGCAACGTCTCTGACACTGCATTGGATTTGAGGGGAATTACCTGCATCAGAGCTTGAGGGAAAGTTTAGGGGAGGGTACCACAGAAAGGTGAACAGGTAAGAATGCCACGTCTCTGACACTGCATTGGATTTGAGGGGAATTACCTGCATCAGAGCTTGAGGGAAAGTTGTGTTTGGAACTATAGCCTCAGAGCCTCTCACCGGTGCTAGGCTGGAGTGCAGATAGTGGTCTCCCCTTCCTCTGGATGGAGTCTTTGTCCTGGTCACTCGACCGTGAGGGTAGTCAGAGCCCTTCACTCCCTACCTCATTTTTCCTTTCTGAGCTTCCCTGCACATGTGCATGCCCTGAGGGGAATTCATCAGCTTTCATTGGGCTCATTACTCAGCCCTGGAGGTTAGGAATTATAGGAGCATATTAAGTTTTGCAAACAAGATCCAAAGACATATACTTAGAATTAGTCCTGAGAGAAATCAGTCAAGGTGTAAGTGAGGGAGTTTAATTTGTCCCCCTACAGTGGTTTGGGGTTCCCTTCCTCTAAGGGGCCTGTGCTCCTCACATTTCCCCTGAATTTCCAATCACTGTCTTAATGAGACAGTTGCTAATGGGAGTGTGTCATAAACCTCAGTTTTGCTAGTATAGAAAAAAAGGATGAAAATCTCTGCTTTGGAGTAATTAGGCATTTTACCTCTTACTGGCATTATGGAAAGTTGTCGAGCCTGCTCCAGGCAGGCCAACGTGCTCTGGCAGGACCTCAAAGCCTAGGGTATAATTTTTGGCTTCATCCCTTCTGTGGCGGTTGGATAATGAAGCCTATGACTCTTTAACCCTAGTTGCTGCCAACCTTGACTGAGAACACCAATGAATAAATAGTTGTCTTCCGTTAAAAATAACATGTGAGGCTTAAGTCTGTGGAAAGATAGAAAGACTCTAACTAGATGGATTTAAATGGAGATAAATGTAAAATCCTCCATGTCAGTCCAGGAAATCAACTGCTCATGTACAGAGCAGGAAGCTGTGTCCAAACAGCATCTCAATGAACTAGGCTGAGAGGTTTAATTCACTATTAGTTCAACAGATGTCAGTAACATCATTTTTTTTGTTAGTTGTAGACTTAGATGTATAGCATTGTCTAGATCAAGGAAGGAAGGAAGATGATAGTTTCTCTGCACTCTGCAATTTGTTTAGTCTAGGGCATCACGCTAAAGACTGTCCAGAAAAGAATCAAAACTGTCTTATGAAGAATTGTTGAAGAAATTGGGAATATTTAGGCCAAACAAGAAAAGACCTGGGGGTGGGGAGATATTCATAATAGTTGTCTTCAAGTATTTGAAGAACTGTCCTGTTAAAAAAGAAAGTAGTTTATTGTGACTCCAGAGCTCAGAACCAATGAGTGAAAAATAAAGGGAGAAAGGCTTTGACTCAAAGTGATAAAGAGATTTCTAATAGTCAGAAATGTCCAAAATGAAAGGGGCTGTCTTTGGAGATAATGAGTTGCTCATTGCTGGATGCATTCAGACAGTGGGAAGCCACTGTTCAGAGGCAGGCTGCAGAAGTCATTATGCAGTTGTAGGTGGTTCAAGGAGGTGACTTCTAAAGTCCCTTTCTGCAACCCAGGAAAGTGCCTTGTAGTTGTATGTGGTTGTAGTAGCATATTAAATACTGCATGTGTCAAAGAGGGTGGAGTTAAAATACCACGTTAACCCTTCTTTGGCCTCGTGAAAGCATTCTGTAACTGTGCATTAACCAGCAATACAAGCAGGGTTCACACATCCTTCCTGTGGGCTCACACCATTACACATTATTGTCTGGACCTCACAAAGGAAAAGAATGGACCGTTGTAAAGCCAGATTTGGATTTTGAAGTTACACTGAAGTTATCTTTGAGTGCAATTAAAAAGGATACGTTAAAATTAAAACCATTGTTAAAATTAATCAAAGATTTAGAAAGGTAGAATGAACTTCAGAGCTGGAAATTACTGATTTAAACAATTGTTCTCACATTTTAAACTACATAATGAGCTAAAAATTATGAAGCCTCAGAGTATAGTTGTGAAGAGTAGTCTAAAACCAAAGTCAAAATGGAATGTTTTAGCTTTCAAAACTAAAAAGCAGAACAATTACTCCATACAAAATGGTATAGGAAGAGGTTTCTGACCCCTGCTAATTGTTTTATTATTCTTCAGAGGGGCATACTGGCAGCTTTTCCCAGGGTTTTCAGTAATTACACTCCATTCAATATCTGAAGAATTACAATAATTCTACATGGAATATACTTGTGCCCTTCGGATGCAAAGCCTTTAGAGAAGTGAAAAAACAACTTAAAGTAAATTAGCAGGAAAATTATCATAGTTACTGTTTATTTCAGGGCTCCATATATCAGAGGCTAATTATACATTGTATTTTACATTTTCTTGGAGGTATTTGTAATATATTTCTCATGCTGATCAACAGACATGCTGGTTTTTAGGATCCTTTATGAAAGTGAAGTTCTAACTTTTCCAATTGCCTTTTTGCATATGAGAAATTATCCCCTGCAGATACATGTCGCTTAATGTTTGCCAGAGTCCTCAAAGCAGTAGTATTCAGTGAGGTATTACGATGCTTACATATATATATATATATATATGTAAGGCTTTGGCTCTTCTATGATTTTCTTTTGTACCACATAAGCTTTCTCAAAATCATTTTCCGAGAGTCTATGAGAGGAGGAAAGTGAGGACTAGAATTACATAGCTGCTTAGAGATTGGGGAGTCTCTTTCCCTGGGTGGAGCCTTGTCAATTTTCTGCCAGTGTTACAATTAATCCACTGTCTCTACAGGACCTCTTTAGAGTTTGAGCAGCAAAAGTATCCTGAAACATATGCAGGCACTGGGGGTCCCAGCTACTCTTAAAATACCCTGAGCAAGAAATGTACATCTTGGCTAAAAAATGTCTATCCAGTGTCTTCAGTCTCACTAATGTTTTTCTCAGGGGTTAGGGGGTTTCTGTTTCTGTTCTTCATTTCTTCTCTTTTTTTCTTTTGTTTTTAATCGAGTTTAGCACAAACGATTCCCTTTTAAGTTTTTGTTGCAACCAAAACTTTACAAAGAAATTAGGAATATCACTTTATGACAAAATTAACAAAGGTAAAATAATGATCTGTCCATGATTGAATACATGCTCATTTTTAAAACATTCTAAAATGCAAATGGCGTGGAAAGTAGTCACAAATGCAATGTGAAAAAATTGCAAATAAAAATATGCATATATAATATGACTTCAATTTTTGAAAAATATGGTTTTATATATTTTTTAATATTAGAAGGAAATGTACCAAAATATTAATGAGGTTACTCTTTAAAGTGATATTCTTAGTGATTTTTACTTTGCTCTTAAAATTTTCTGTCTTCCTGATTTTCTAAAATGTGCATGTGTTAGTGTTATAATTAGAAAGGAAGGGAAAAAAAGAAGAAAGGGAAGGAGGGAAACAATTAGGATTAGCATTAAAACATACGCTTTTGCTGGAAGATTAGAAAGGTCAGTAATGCGTAGTGTATAGCAAAAACTTATAAGTAGCCTAAAATGTGCATGTGTTAGTGTTATAATTAGAAAGGAAGGGAAAAAAAGAAGAAAGGGAAGGAGGGAAACAATTAGGATTAGCATTAAAACATATGCTTTTGCTGGAAGATTAGAAAGGTCAGTAATGCGTAGTGTATAGCAAAAACTTATAAGTAGAATATTTTGACTTACTGTTCAGTCAATACAATCTAATACCTCATTACTGAATCTTGTTTATCGTGAGGAACTTGACAAGCTAACCCTTCTCCAAATCTAAGATAGTTATAAATTCTCTTACAAATTCACAGTGACCTCAGGAAAGGATGGTGAACACTCTTCCCAAGCATTAAGGTACAGTCTCAGGAATGACAGACGCTTTTTACATTGTGGGGAACAAGCAAATAATTAGACTGGCGTTATGCCATTAATAGTTCTTACCTGAAAAATGCCTTGTGTCTGCGAGTGTGGGTGCCTCTTTAATGTAATTAAACAGGCTATCCATCAACCAGTTGCCTTCAGATAGTCCACATCTCAGAACATGCTGTTTCTCATGGTCCCAAGTTTTACTGAAATAAATAATGGTTTGCTTTCCTTTTTGGATTAAACACTAAGCTTACTTGCATTTCTGTTTTTCTTTTTTCTTTATTCCTTTTAGCGCATGATTGCAAATACTGCCAGAACGGTGAGATACTACAGGAGCCAACCCTTCAGTAAGTTAAATGCTACTGCATGCTGTAGTGTAGATCTTGGTGATGAAGTCCTTTTTAATGAGGCCACTGAGACAGACGCTTTGGATCATGAATTCCATGGGACAGGGTTTAAGGATTTTTTGCTGTTGTAATACTAGAAAATATTGACATTGTTGTAATACTAAAAAATAACTGTAAGGATATTATTTTATAAATTAAAAGAGAGTTAATCTAAGCTCTTTCCAGTGTGGTTAACAACAGCTAAGGCACAATTGCCAACAAATCCTGCCTCGAACCAACTCTCTTTATGACTCATTGCTTGACGTTGAGAAACTCATATCAACCGTTGATGACTCAGTTCTGTCATTTATAAACTAGAAAGATAATATTTATTTTCTCTCAGAGTGTTTTGAGAATGCATTAATGTCAGCTGCTCAGCTCTGAAGTCAACAATCTATAGATAAAACTATAGGAATAGATTCATAAGCACTATGGGAATATGTACAATGTAATTACAGTATATTGTACATGTAGAGTACATTGCCAGTGAGAAGCGGAGGAAATTAAACACAATGTGTTCTGCAGTTCACTGTGGTATTATTTATGTGTGATAATTATACTGATGAGTTTCTTCTTACAGCAAGTAGGGGCCTTTGTATCTTCTCTCTGCTTTTCTGTGTTCAGACCTGCAACAGTCCTCTTCACCCCTTATGCAGATGGCATTCTAATTGTCTTCGGGAGTGGTGTGTGAATCTAACAGGAGCAACTGGACTGCAGAAAGCAGTGTGCTATGGTAGAAAAAAACACTGATTGAGAGTCCAGACTCCAGCTCAGCCACTCCCGGTGCTATCAGACCTGAGGCCCCACCCAGTGATCCTTGAGACAGAGGTGGCCCATGGACCATGGCAGAGGTGTTGGGTCTAAACAGAGCATTTTTTCCCTTTTACTTTGAAATAATGTTACCGTTTTAAAATTGGGAGAATTCACAGGGAATAAATCCATATTTCTCATTTCTAAAAAAAAGAAAAAGAAAGGTCTGGCAACTCTGGATATAGATTTTCATGTGACAGCATCATGCAGGAGCTGAGTAGTCCCTTCTGAAGGGACCTGTGTTTCCAGTTTACCACTGTCGAATTTGGCCTTCCCCAGACTGGCCAGCAGCAAAAAATAAAATAAAATAAAATAAAAAAGCCTTCCTCATTCATGTATATTCCCTGCTCAGGGCTGTGGGCACTGGATTCTTCTTTCAGCCCCAGCGTTAGTGAAATCAGTAAACCTGTGTGATAGCTCAGCTGCTCACACTTGGAGTATGGATCAGAATAGAATGGTAAATGGGTTTTCAGAACAAGTAGCAATCAGAGAATCAAAGGTCTAGGTGAAGTCATAACTTCAGCCTATGAGTTGAGTTTCTCCCTGAATATAGATAGTCTCTAAGAACATAGTCTATGTAGTAATGCTCTATATTATATGCAAGCAAAGAGGGGAGTCGGGACTTAATGGCTTGCTTCAGTTTCAGCCCAGGTTTAAGTGCTTTTGTGAGGAGCTAATGAAAACTATGTCTTTTGACATTAGTTGTCCCCTGGATCAAAGGAGGTGGAGACTCAGAGTGGGAGACACAGAGGTGGGTTGGTAAGGGGAAACAATTTAGGGGCTATCAGACAGATGTTTCCCTTTTTATTTGGTGCCATTTTTTTTTTTTTCAACGTGCAATGCAAAGGAAAATGATCAAAAGAGGTGATTCCAGGGAAGAAAAGAAAATTGGAGTGTAGGAGGTAGGAGATGGAACAACCAAGTGGCAACATTTCAATGAATGTGGTATGTTGAAAGGTCTTGGTGGAACCCAGGAATCTAGGAAAATGTAATAAATAATTGGAAAAATAAGCTGTATCTTATATGCATATATTATGCAATGCCAAGTCTGCCCTTTCTTCTTTCAACAGACCCTGATGCAGCTCAAGCTAATAAGAACCATCAGGATGTCCGCAGTTATGTACGGCAATTAAATGTGATTGACAACCAGAGAACTTTATCACAGATGTCACACAGATTAGAGCCTCGTCGGCCATAGACATTTAAAGTACCCAGAGCAATGGTTTGTCTCCAGTCCACAATCTTTCAAAAATGCCATTTATGCTACTAGTGACTGTATTGCCACTAGAGAATTCTACAAAACAAGCAAAAACACATCCTGAGACACCTCAGGGCTGCATTCAGCTTACCAGCTACATGACAAAGAAGAAATTATTTGACTTGCATAAAGCTTACACACTCTAGCTTAGGACTCCCCAGTTTGTGGTCACCCTGTTTAATTTCCAGTTGAGCCATCTTCTTTGCCAATACATTAAATAAGGCCCACATGAAGAGTTTGGTAGAAATACCATTCTCAAGAGAACTGTCAAGTTCCAGAAATTTTTTCCTAAGAGTGTTGACAGGATGAGATGTGCTACAAGTGGAATTGCTTTGGATATATTGGTGGTGATATAGTTTCATGATTTTTAACTCAACACCTTGACTTGGAGCATCAGATTTTGGGAAGGTGTTGAGGAATCCGTATAAGTCCAAATAATAAGTTGTATTCTTCCATCTTCATAATCTTACCTCTGAAAGAATAGAACCTGACCACATTACTATAAAACATTATGGCTGTTTTTGTAATTGAGGGAGGACTGGTCTGTAATTTCTGAATGATATATAGAATAATATTTATGTTTACAATGTATCTTTTTAAAATTTGCAAATCAGGATTACATACATAAGAATTCCACTAAGAAACACCACATTCTTAAAACCGCCAGTGTTAAGATAAAAAATAACATTTCAGAAGAGCACAATATGCACAAAACACTTTTCAAAATTGGAATATTTTCCTGGGCATTAAAAACGTTTACTATTGGCCACAAATTTATTATTACTGATTAAAAAAAAGAAAAACATATTTTCTGGACTTAAATATTATTACAAATATCTTAATTTTCAGCAATTGTTTTGCACTTTCAAATAGATTGTAAATAGTTCATTCAATTGATGGTATAGAGTTATTTATTTGCTACATAATAGATATTGTGCCAAATAATTACTTTTTATTTATTTTATTTAGTATGTAATTTTGGAGTACATTTTTTCCTGTTTTAACAATTGGACTACATTTAATGTGTAGGAATTGTATGTATGTATATCTTCTGTAAATAACATCTAGTACCTTCATTAAATATAATTGTGACAAGAAATGGTTGTGTTGTTCTCAGTTCCTGTAATATGGGAGGGATAACATTTGGTATGGTGGAGTACTGGATATTTTTAATTGCAATAAAAGGCATATACTATAAAACTCACCCTCGTAAAGTGTACAATCCAGTGGTTTTTAGTATATTCCCAAGGTTGTACAACCATCATCACTATCTAACTCCAGAACGTTCTCCTCATCCCTAAAAGAAACCCTGTGTTCATGAGCAGTCACTCTTTACTCTTCTTTCCCTCCAACCCCTGGCAACCACTAATTTGCTTTCTCTCTCTCTAGTTTGCTCTGGACATTTCATGTAAATGGAATCATGTAATATGAAGCCTTTTGTGTCTGATTTCTTTCACTTAACGTGATGTTTCCAAGGCTCATCCATGTTATAACTTAACTCAGTACTTCATTTCTTTTTTTTTTTTTCTGTCCTTTTTGAGACCGGCCGCACCGCCCTCAGCCAGTGAGTGCTGTGAGCGCACCGGTCATCCCCATATAGGATCAGAACCCGCGGCGGGAGCACTGCTGCGCTCCCAGCGCCGCACTCTCCCGAGTGCTCCATGGGCTCGTCCCAGTACTTCATTTCTTTTTATGGCTGAGTAGTATTCCATTCTCTGAATAAGACATGTTTTGTTTATGTATTCATCAGTTGATGGACATTTGCTTGTTGTCCCCACTTTTTGGCTATTAGGAATATAGCTGCTATGAAGGGGCACTGGATTTTAGAGCTGTCCAGTATTGGGCCTCATGCCATTTTGCAGTGATTTAATCACTTTGTAAATATTTGATGAAGAGATTTCCAGAATGCTTTAAATTCCAGACATGCCTCTATTTTTTAATGTCAGCATTTTCTAGAGTGTGTTCCAGGCCATACGAGTCCCACAAGTTCACATGCTATTCCTCCAAAAACAAAAACATAATGCAAAGCAAAAAACAAAACCAAGATACTGTCTTCAGATAAATTTGGAAACCACTGCATAATACATACCCCATTCTTAGAAATGATTCTCAGTATTCGTGAGCATATTGAAGGTTCTGAGAAGTCCTGTTGTAATCCCTTTTTACATCCAACAATTAAAACCCACTTTGAGAAATGCCAAAGCAGACAAATGCTTCTCTGTGTTCATTTATATAACAGTTCAAAGTCCTCAGGAACAGGGTATTGTTTTATGCTGGAAGCAAGTACAGTGCCTAGGATTTACTATACAGTTAAAGGTTACTGAATAAATTTTCTCGAAGTCATTATTGTTCAACATTTCACTGTCTCACAGACCTCAATGTTAGCTGCTAAGTTTTCACCGTTATATATTTTTCCTTTTCTAAATAATTTACAAAGATGACAAATGAAGCTGACAGCCCATTCCTTGAGCATCTTTGCTCTTGTTTTGCTCTTTATTCCTACCTTACTTGAAAGCAGGTGTTCTATGCACAGCAGCACCTTTCCCCAATCCCATGGTGACTGACAACTTATGATATTTTAATCTAGTTTCAACATTATTCAAAATTAATACATATTGTTTCATGTGTATTCCCCTTGGTCTTCCAAATGAGAATAACTATTACTGTACTTAATAAAAATAAAAAAGTTTAATTGTGTCTGGCTTGGATGAAAATGCATTAAACTGCATTAATCAAGATAGTGATGGTGAAGTAAAAGAATTCACTCTCTGAAAATGTAGAGTAGCAGCCAAGCAATCCTTCCTGAGACAGATGCAGTTAATATTTTAAAACTTGCAAACAAGCCAAAAGAAAATGAGATGCCTACCGGGTCACAAGAAGGGAAGAATTCACTCTCTGAAAATGTAGAGTAGCAGCCAAGCAATCCTTCCTGAGACAGATGCAGTTAATATTTTAAAACTTGTGGGCCGGCCCAGTGGCGCACTGGATAGTGTGCCGCTTGGGAAGCGCGGCGGCGCTCCCGATAATGAGGTTCGCTGGAAGATGTGAAAAAGAAGAAAGAACGTTTTTACCAAAAGTGTCTGTAGAAAATTACACATTTAAGTGTTTAACATACCTACCTAGCAAGGTCACTGGCATAGTGTACGGGAGCTAAGCTTTTCTGGCAGTTTTTGAATACTGTGTGGGTTAAATATGCTGCTCCTGAATTCAATGGCATTTCCTCTTAAGATATGAATGCAGATCAATGACTACCAGAGTGAGAAAAAAGTGTCCTAGTTTCAAATTGTGCTTCTAATAATAATAATAAATTAAAAGTCAGCATAGAATATGCAGTATGGTAAAATGAGACCCTACCTTGAATTGCTTTCCTTTTGCGGTCAATCTAAAATGTGTTACATCTCTTCCTTCAGACTAATCTTAATTTGTCCTACGTAGAAGAATGTGGTGTTCAGTGAGCAGACCTTACTTATAAACTGGAGAAGAACCTTTAACTTGGTATTGTTAGTCATTTTTCCTTTTTTTTTTTTTTTTTTCTGACCGGTAAGGGGATTGCAACCCTCAGCATGGTGTGGTCAGCACCACGCTCAGCCAGTCCAGCCATCCCTATACAGGATCCGAACCCGTGGCCTCGGGGCTACCAGCGCTGCACTCTCCCGAGTGAGCCACGGGGCCGGCCCTTGTTAGTCATTTTTCTATTCATTCATTCTTTATAAGATAATGATCGAGGTGCTCTCTGAGTGCCAGGCCCTCTATGGACTCAGGATTCAATGGTGAAAAAAACTGGAGAGAGTCCCTGTTCTCCTGGAGCTTATCTTCCAATGGGGGCGACAGAAGATCAATCATAATCATACACACAAGTAAGTGTAAAAATGCTGCCAAAGAAGGATATGGTGTTGTAAGAGCATGTAATAGGGGGATTTAGTCTGATCCGAGGTGAGGAAATGTTTTCTGGGGATGTGACAGTTGAGCTGAACACTGAGAATGAATACTAACCACTCAGAGAGAGGAGGAGACTGTGTTCTGAGCAGAACACTGGCAGTGAGGGACGCAGGGGAGAATACCTGCCATGTGCTGAGAGCTGAGAGGGGCTCGGGGCATGCAAGGCCTTGCTGACCTTTTAAGGAGCTTTGTCATTTTTTTTTTTTTTTTTTTTTTTTTTTTTTTT